AATAATAAACAGAAAGCATATAAAATGCAAAAGTTGTTTTTCTGTGTCGGACATCATGAATTGGCTTGACTCTAAGTTCATCCAATATTTTCTCTGTGAAAGTTTCATTAAAATCCATCCAGTGGTTCAGGAGATATTTTGCTAACAGACAGAACACCTTATGGAAGCATCTCAGAAACTCTGACAGACGGGCTACAGAGAGGCTCACCGAACCTCCTGAATGAACTAAAATGTTCTGTAATTTTATTGAACTCTGGTACTGTAGATGTTTTATTTTATTTTATTTTATTTTATTTTTTGTTATAAAGTTGTTTTCCTTCTATTTCGGTGTTGGCACTGTGGAGTTTTGCGCTGACGTCACAAAGAAGCGATTTTACGCAGAGAGAATATGAACTGTGTTGCGCGCGTGTCATTAACTCCTGGCGTGTTTTTGTGTTTTTGTCCTCCACCTTGTCCCTGGTCCAACGTGCTGCAGCCACAGGTGTCTGCTGAGGCAGCAGCGGGATGTGTGGACTCCCCTCCTCCTCCTCCTCCTCCCTCCCTCCCCCCACCACCTCGCGCTTCGCTGTCAGGCGCGACCATCCCGTCCTAAATGCATCTTTACGACCGTCCCCGGTCCCTCTGGCAGGGTTGTGTCTGCAGCACCTGGTAGTCCAAACTTTGTGTGTTTTTTTTTTATTATTTCCTTGCGCCGGGTCCCTGAGCAGCAGCTGCCTTAAAGCAAGCAGAGTGGCCCTTGTGGTGTCCTGGAGATGGATTTGGCACCGTGTTCCTGCTCTTTAATGTTCCATCAGCCTTTGTGCGCGACACAATATGGCCGCTGTAAAGCATGACATTTTGCAATAACAAAAACACATTTTCCAAAGATGTGACACCAGGCTGAAAGCGCAGCGCGGGCCACGCGGGCCAAACGCGCCCCGCGCTTGTTTTGTTGCCCTCTCAGCCAATTAGGAGCGAGCTCTTTTCGCTGCGCCTCGATCAGCCAATTTAATTTACGTCTTGTAGTTTTTTTTTTTTCAAAGACAGAAAAGAGGTGGATCTGCCGCCTTCTCCTCCCGGGAAAAAAAGGCAATTTACTTGTCATCACCTGGTGCTTTCTTTACAAGAGCCTTAACTGTCCCGAGTGGCCCCGGAACCATACGGCTCCCAGCATCGCGCAGCATTGTTTCCCGCGGTGATCACTTGTTACCAGCATGTAACAAATCTTTTCTAAGCTCTGTTTTGTGTCATATTTTCATCCGGCAGATTAGGCAGATGCTGTGATTGTACAAGCCGCGCGGAGGGGCTCGAGCTGAAAGGGGAGCCGGCCACTCTGGGCACATCTTCAGAGGAATAAAACATTTAGGAGCCATAAACAGACTTCAACCTGCTCTGTTTCAGCCTTTGTGCTGTTTGTGAATAATTAATGTTAATAGGGACAGGTTTGTGTACTTTGAATGCGGGACCACAGGTGCAGAGTGACAGGATGAATAACCAGGCCTGATTTTTGCCAAAGCTCGAGGGCCCTTGTCCCGGGTCTCCAAGCTGATGGAAAATATTGTCATGTCTTTGATTCGCAGCATTACTTTCACGGAGAACAAAGCGTGCAGATGAACAGCTTATGTTGGAGTGACGGTGGCCGCCGCAGACTCCTGAAAGAAAAAGAAAAGGACCGAGTCAATGGCAGCGCGCGCGCCTGCTTCTGTGCGCAAAGTGCTCCATCTAACTCAAATAAAAGGAGCCTTTCCAACTTTTAAAGGACCACTTTTAGCCTTTAATAAAGACTGGACGGCTGGAGCCATTAAGCATATGGTGCTAAGGCACGGGTCTTTTGTCTCCGCGGGCCTCTTCACGTCCGAACTTCGGTTCTTTGGGGGGGAAATGGAACTTCTTGAACGATCCAACTTGATGCGCCACAGCGGAGCGCACGGCGGTCCGGCTCCCCGAGGGGCCATCAGAGGCCGCTGCGGGGCGTCAGACACGGAAACCCCGCTCAGACTCCGGTCTGGTTCGGTTCTGGAGCCTCTGGTTGACCCTTTTAAAGATGATGCAACTTTTGACAGCAGGTCGATGGGCTGGATCAAACCGATCAGTCTGGACTGATTTAAAACGCTTTAAACCTTAAATGTGGACTGAAATAAAACCTCCTGACATGTTTTTATAGTTATGATTCATTCAAAAAGCAACTGGTTTCATTTTTATTCAGACAAGTTCTTATTTAAAATATCTTATGACACCACATATTATTTTTAAGAGAATGTTTATTTATTAATTTGAAAGAAAGTTATATATATATATATATA